AAATAAATCTGATTCTTTATTTTCATCTTCATTTAAGCAACAAAGAAATGCAGAATAACTTGGTTACTCTTTATTTTAAGGTGTCCTTGTTACAGTGTAATTAGACATTTAAGTACTGAGTAATAATAAACTACATGCACTTACTATATGGTTAGGGTTTGGCTTAGGGTTACTTGCATGTAATTATGTAAAGTTTATTGTTATTATAATAGTAAGTACATGTAACGTGTAACAAGGACACTTTGAAATTAAGTGTTACCAATGACTTCTTGATATCCAGTAATGGCATTAAAATACTCACTTTTCCCACTTGGCCTTGAAGACTTAAATAGTGTCCCCGGGAAAAGATGCTGTGACCGGGTGCAATCTTTGGCAGCTTTTTCATCATCATCTGGAAAAGCAAGTGGTGCTGCCCTGAATTTGGTGGATGTGCAGCCATATCTCTTGCTAATTGTTATATTTTTCAAAAAATATTTGACCGCCTCAAACTCAGGTGTGTCATTGTTATTTAGAGAGATATGAGCGGACATGCCCCCAGCGTTTGAGAGCAGAGAATACTGCTTGTTTTTAACATTTTATTTAATGGCGTTTTTCTAATCATTCAAATTTGGCTGGGTGGTTAATAACAATTTTTTCTGTGGTGTGACAAACTCGGAACACACATTTAATATTGCTTTACATGGACTTTAATATATAGAAAATGAGTGTAGTTTGAACGTGTGAATGAAATAAGATGAGTGTAGTGCTAATATTAAATTAACTGTGTGCAGAGTCATGTACTGAGAAGTTAATACAAATGTGTAAAGCAGACATAAGATCATTTTAAGCACACTTACATCATCCGTTAACCACGGCATCTTCTTATTTGGGTCTTCGTCTAACAGAGAAGATGGGCAAACACTTCTCAAGTCCACAATGTATAGTGTTGCATATGCTGAAAATCTGTGAATCATTCGCCTCTCTCTCCTCCAGGCAATGTAAAGTTGTTTCAGCTTGTCCTGTTCATTACATGTAAATGAAGCAGAAAATATTACAGGTGTAGTTTTTTGGGTTACAGTAAACTACTGTAAACTGAACACATACAGAAGCCAGTCTGTACCTTAACAATGACACAGAAACTCCCCAAGTCTTCCTCAACTACATCTGGTTCAGCTTGTGGCTCACTTAATGATTTTGCAGATGTTCTTTGGTACATCTCTGAAATTATATGACACATTATTGAGATATAACAAAATTTTTTATAAAAGGCAAGATCTGGCAATACACTGCAAAAACTCCTCATCTA